GCCAAACAAGTTTTAACGAACTTTAGACGTCAAACTATAGACATGTCCTCTTTCTACTCATCACGGGATCGTTCTGAGGACTCTAGACAAGAAAGCGTGGATGAAGCATCCGAGGAGGAGAATGGGGAGAGGGACTCGGACGCGTCAGGGACATCTGGGAACGTCACAGATGAGGACGATGCTGAGTACGTGTCGAGACGTCAGGAAGAAGAAAGGTAAGTCATTTGTTTTCTTTAAAAAAACATCAGTGTTTCCTTTACAATAAGTGCCTTAAGAATTTATGCACAAATAACTTGCAAAGAGGCAAAAATGGCCTCGAATATATATGAAAAGATGCGTATCAATACATCAGTAAAGGAAATATGACAAAACTTGGCATTCGCATCTCAAATCAGTGTCAAAATGCCTTTTTGTCATTTTTTGGAAGTTTGATTATAAAATCATTATCAAGTTCGCGTTCAATTACATGCGTCGAAAATCGCCTTTTAGAATTATCCTCTTCAGTTCGTACTCCTTCGTCCCCCTACGTTACCAGTATACACCTTAGTGTACAACTTTGTAGAAACGGCTGTGTTTCTTTATAGAGGCACTTCCTAAATCGCCGATCCAAAGTCCGAATAGACAAACATATTTATCATGAGTTCATGCAGTCAGACGGTCCGATAATCTCACCCAAAGACCGAGTCATATACCCTTATTTTTTCTTCGTTTAAGGTTTAGCCCGACTTAACGCTCACACAAGCTCACAGCCCCGAGTTAACAGTCCATTCTTTTTGACTTTGAAAACTCTTAAGCTTGAATCTAAATTATTCAGCTTGCGGGAAGCTATAGCACGACTGTACGCTCACCCAAGCGCTCAGACCCGAGTTAACAGCCCCTGGGGTTCCGAGGATGGCTTGACATCTGAGGACTTACACATAGTTATCTTTCTACAGGGTCCGTAAACCAAGTATATGTCGTCGAGTCTGCAGTGTGTGTTTTCGTTTCGTTATGTCTGTAATTCTCCTCATCGCGTTGTCTATAGCAACCGTCATCTTTCTAAACCATAACACAAGCTATAAACTCCAACGCGATCACCTTCCTAAGGCTCTTCTTGAAATACTGGACCCTATTGCTACTCTCGTCCATAATCGTAGGCCTCCATCTTAGAAATGTTTGTAATGTACTTTCTAGTACATATTGTGGTCACACAGGAAGCCCGAGTTAGATGTATATATTATACACAGGGATCCTGAATGTAAACTGTACTGTATTTGGGTTGACTTAGAAGGATCTTAGATCTTCACGAGTCTTCACACAAAGGTGACAGTTTTTGTATTTATAAATCACAGGAAATCCAACTGTATTGAAGTATTTAGATCTGTTCTGGTCTTGTATATATTGCGCGCAAAATACTAAGTGCTGATTGATCAGCAGCCTCATTAAAGCGGGCAGTTTTAAATAACCGGTATTTTATTCGTACTAAGGAGGTCCGGTATAGAATGTACAGAGTATATTTATCACTTATCAGCGTTAAGAACAAACCTCTGTAGAGAGGGCAACATTGTATATCCAACGTCATTGCACTTTTTCTATTTACTACTTTCAAAATGGCCGACGCTCGGAAGCGACGCCATTTTGAAAAAAAAGTGAAGCCGAGAGTGCCTGGGGACAAAGTTGTGATAACTTGCAAATCGTGGTACGTTGTGGTACCCACGAAAGCAGGTTACTTTAGGTTTTCAAAAACCATTCATAAACCATTGCAAAACTTGGAATATTTTCATAAAATATCTATAATTGACTTGATGACCTTTGAGACTTTGATAAAGAATGCTTCTTGAGAATTACCCAGAAGAATTTGGTGTACGCTAAATTTTATATTTACGAATATTTCGCAATGTATACCTCGTTAAAACGGGCAGCGTTAGATCGACATGTGCGAAATAGCGAGGTTTTGGTACGGTTTTTTTTAGAACTGGACCGCGTTTAAGCGGGCAGCAGGATTTATTGTGTTGTCCAGTCTTATTGAGGATATCATCTCGAAACCTTATATATTCTTTTCGTTAAAATGTCAATAATGATTGGGCGAATATTTTCACGACCTAAGCACGGAAACACATTAATATATTCACACAAAATGGGTGATATTGCAAGCATTAGTACAGTATAATATTGCCTTTGAGTATAAAAATAAGGATGTACTCTTGCTGTAAAGGTATAAATAGAGCTTTTATAGTATAAACGTGATATCCTATATTTTGGAAAGATATTTAATTTATCCAGCTTTTTGCTAATTAGAACAAAAATAAAATGATTCAGGAAATGTTTATGTATGCAAACTGGGAATGGGAACGTCTGAGAACTTTATGCGCTTTGCATGCTTTTTTTAGATAAAACTAACCTGAAACTGTTTCAGTTTGTATAACAAAAACATCTCGATAGTATCTATTGAAAAAAATCAAGTGATTCTAATAAAATGTAAATTATTTATAGCATACTATTTAATTAGCCTCCGTAGCAGACGTTCCAAGCGGTTCGGAATCGAACCGCTTGGAACGTCTGCTACGGAGGCTACTATTTAATAATCAATAATACATTTGTGATTAATGTTTTACAACTAGAGTCATTGAATAAACGAAATGCATTTTTATTTCTTTTGTGTTTTTGTTCTGTGAGTATTGTTATTCGCCACCAACACATAATGAGCCATCCTCGGGAGCCCAGAGAAATCTTCTGTCGTTCGTGGTGGGTTCCCGAGGATTCAATAAGCGAACTTTTTTGGCTCGTTTCTATTTAATTTCCTATGTTTTCGTTGCCCATAAGTCGCTGAAGTGGTCCGACTGACATTGAGAATCAACGTACTGCGCTTTGTAAGTCTCAAGCAGTGTCAAAGAATTCGTAAAAATGCTATACAAATATAAAGCATGATCATGATCATCATCCTTATCAAAGCATGAAAAATCAACTTCCAAACTTTGTATTGGAAAGGYTACCTCTAAAATTTACCTCATATTGACTATTGACTTGTTGTAATTTATCCGACTTCTGCAAAGTTTTAACTAGCACTAAACCTACAATCTTGGACATAAATGTTGACAATTTTTACGCACGCACGACATTTCTCACATTCTTCGCCGATAAAACCTTCCTCGTGCCCCCTCCTCCCCTTCCCCCAATACAATGTTGTGTGGCTTTCTTTTCATTGGTTGTCCATTCATTAACCCCTGCATGCAACATTGATGCGGGAATGTTTCGTTATAGGTTGACTGTTGATTATCATGTGTCAGATAACCTCAGTCTTTTGAGTCAATTTTTGAGATTGTCTGTTTTAAGAAACGAAAAAAAATATTATTTTTACTTGATATCATCACTTAATATGCAAACTTTGGAACATAATCAAAGGCTGTTAGGAGCTAAAAAGCACTTAATTGCACTCGAGTATGTCTTTTTCGCATTTTTGTGCAGGGTTGACTTCCCAAGTAGGTGTTCTGCTAGCATCAAATGGGTTGTCCTCCTCCTTGACAATATAGACGAAATGATAATCGTCTTGGTTTTGATTGGAAGTCCTCCTGTCGCCAGTAAAAACCTGCAAGCAAAAAAAATCTGTTTTAACTGAAATTTTGTTCGACACCTAAATATGTCTGTAATATATGTATTTAGAGTGTCATTTTTATCCTTCAGTGAAATAGGAATTGAACTATTAAATACTATTAGCTCCCAATAGTTTAACTTATGGCATGCGACAAAGAAGTCATAGGGGAACACGGTTTTGATTTTGCCTTTTGGTAGCCCACTACACCCACCCTAATAGTTACTATTAAACACTGACTAGTAGTAATCGTTTCACAGACGGATGAAAATGACTCTAGAGTGGTTTTCATTAACCCGTGAAACAAAGTGTAATAGTCAAAGTGTAATAAAGTGTAATAGCCAAGAAATATAATAGAAAACAAAAGAGACAAAGTGTAATACGCTAAAGTGTATTTCACGGGTTAATGAAAACCACTCTAGTAAAAGCGCGAAACGCTAATTACTTATTGTGCAAAATAGCCTAGTGGTAGTTGAATAAAAGAAAACAAAAGTATTAGTCTAGCATGAAATATTGCAAAACCGTATTACTTATATTTCACGGCTTTAATAAAAGCACTCTATGAACAACCACAAACACAACAGAGTAAACAGACATGTTGTAACAACATTTTAATTAAGATTTCTCACCTTGACAATGTAGAACTCTTTGATCACCGCTACTCGCTTAACCTTGTAGCTCACAGCATCAAAACTTGTAAATGTTTGTTGTGATTTTAGAAACTCCTGTATCTGTTAAGAAAAGTGGGATATTACCTTAAGAAGCCATGAACATGTGTAGGTTTAACTTTCAAGTGAGATCAAAAATTGCGTCATTTTCAACCAATCAGAAATCGAGAAAAAATTGATTCCTCCAGAGTCTCTCACGAATTGACTTCCGCCGGATGGCAAAAGTGCGGGCTCTGATAACGAGATTTATCGATACTGAGATAACCTTATTCCCACCTTGTCGCAATCTGACTGCAATTCAACGTCTGCTGCAATCAGATGGCCTTTTTGCTTTAGATCCTCAATGTGCTGTTTCGAATTTGGGTCTAATTTACCTGCAATATGAAAAAATCAATTAGATGACGTTATTTGGTGACTGTCTGCAATAACATTTACTAGCTCGACATTATTAATAAATTGTCAAGTTTATATGCTAGCTAGGTCAGCTAGCGACTGGAAACAAGAGTTTTCGCTCTTCGGCTTACCACACGATGACGGATAATTTTGTATGCAATCTCGTACCAAGAACCCGCACTTTTGCCATCCAGAGGATGTCAATGCGTGAGAGACTCTGGAGGAATCGACTGGATTTGCGACGCTTTTCCGTCACAAATTATGCAAATGAGGTAAATTTTGTTTTCTACTTTAGGAACGGTATTTACACCTCTTTAAAGACAAAAATGTGTGAAAACATGTGTTTATGCGATAAAAGTATGATTTTCTTGACCTACAAGGCGAGCGCGCACTGGAAACTTGAAAAACCGACTTGAGAACAATGCACGCTCGCGTCATTTTCAACCAATCAGAAATCGAGAAAACTTGATTCCTMMAGAGTCTCTCATGCATTGACATCCGCTGGATGGCAAAAGTGTGGGCTCTGGGTACGAGATTGTTTTGTATGTGGGAACGTACAATCTGTGTACACCCTAATATGGACCCCTTAAATTTCATTTATATGAAAAAATATGTTTATTAATTTTGGCGAACTATAGATCCGTATAAACTACACAATAGGGGGCTAAATTGCGTTACACTTGGACCGTCTTATTCTCTACTTCATTACTTTTTATCTCCACTGTTTGCATCGAAACTGAAATAACACATGCCTTCACCGTGTCGGATTTTACAACTATGTACCAATCGGGAACTGATTAGTCAAAGACGCAAAACATAAACATAAGTGACGAGTGCTGCTTTATAAATCTTATTCAGGGTCTGTGTCAAAGTTGTACACACACTATAATAAGTCTTCTTTTACTCCGATGGGTTCTAGATGGCCTGAGAGAGGGACTCCAGAGTAGTTATTACTCAACACAGTCTAGGCGTACAAACGCACTTTATTCCTCAATGGTCCATACAAAAGGCCCCGATCGAGATACGCACGAACGGTTTTACCTCTATGGCACGTCAACATACGTAAGAATATTAACATGATCTACAAGTGTCACCCACACGTTACAATTACAACTTGTGACCGTAATTCATCAACTGACCTTAAATACAAGTACCAAATGAATTATTAATCTTTCTTACTATAAAGGACTGAAATTCTATTAACACTCTTCACGGTTGTGATTTCTATTGTGTTTTTCTCATTACTTATTCATGAGTTTAACAAGTATTATTTTAGTGTTTCGATCGTAATAAATAGTGCTTCGCGCGTATTTTTAAAATTTCGAGTTGTTTGAGCAAAATGATGTACATTCGAACAACTCGAAATTTTAGGTTAGGATTTTATTGAAACTTCGTCAGTATATCAATTATGTTATTAAAAAATGATTCTGAAAATTTTATTACAATTGTAATGGGGCTTGGCTTACTAACCAGATAGACCAAATGGTAGAACGTACCAGGGATCTTTATTCGTCGTTAACTCCGTGCAAGACTTAGATAAGTTACAAGCGTACAAGTGTGTTTCACATTGTGTATAGATTGTAGAACAGAATAGTGTACAACCACATCCTTCTGAGTGTGATGTGTTCTCTCTAATAATGGAATTGAATGGAATCGAATGAAATCAGAATCGAATGAAATCAGAATTGAATGGCCTTCCGAGTTAGAGGTAGCTCTATTTATATGACCAAACTTGCTAAACTGGTTATTCTAGATGTCGTCATGATAATGGTGAATATTCATTATCTGAYCATGAYRTRACTTATTGACTYRTGAACTCTTRWTCWAAAGAAACTMTTTGTTGRATGGATTAACTTATTAAGCGTCGATGACCATGTCTTAAGTATTGATTATAAASCAWACTGAGTAATAAGAATATAAGTCTTATTCAGTAAAGGATATATAAATTCTGACTCAAAGTTCGTAGTCAAACAAAACTTAATTGGTGACGCTTATTAGATATTCCAGATATGAAAGTTCTACTGCTCATGCGTTAATCACTGGTCAAAAACTGGTTTTTAACGACAGCTGAAATACAGAGTAAGATTTCTCATCCTGTACAAATAGTATTCAATTACGAGTGYTGGACAGAGGTGTTGYAGAATGTCAACAGATAACGTACCATAGAAATAGTAATTAAGGTCTTACTGAAACATGACGTTGCTATGACAACTTGAGTAATYAGAGTTCACTTGAGTCGAAATATGAGATAACTAGAAATGGCCTCGCTACACAATCTCTGCGATGAGTTTCGAGAAAATTAATTTTGAAGAAATATGAAGGTGTTTTTATTTTGCATCGCTTATCCAAATGGCTTCGCTTTTTGGCAAATTAATTTATAAACAAGAATTATCGATAATCACTGTGACTTCTGTGAAAGTTTGAGAGCAATTGAATCGAAATTTGCGACGTAGTTGGAGTTTAAAAATACGCGCGAAACGCTATTTATTACGATCGAAACACCTTAACTCAACTTATCAAATTTCATACTCCAAATATGGCATGACGTACGAACACCGMCAAAATCCAATGCCAGATTCAAAATTTTACACACGTCGCACAAATTCTCACATGAAATAAAAATGTTTAATTCGAAATTTTCAATGACCAAGATGTTTATTCGAACAGTTATTTCGTCTTTGATATGCACAAAATTATTTGAATTGTAACAGGATTTTTCGAATATATTAAATTTGTTTTAGTATTAGTGACTTTAAGTTACGTGGCAAACAAGCAAACWTTGTCCACTTTCCAATTGACGTTTTATTCTCAAATTATTAAAATTAATTAATCAAATGCTGGATAGGACGGAACTTCAATAACGTGCCATAAAAAAAGGTAAAATTGAAAAATCAATTTGCACAATCTCCAAAAATGTATTCGGACTAGAACATTCCCGATCTAAGAAAGTCTTTAAAAAGTCGTTTCTTACTTGGGATCGGAGATCTCTGTTTGCTCTCCTGCTCTGGCKGTTTGACTGAYGAGTCATTTAAGAAAGATTATGATTATAAAGGAATGTCTTCAATTTTAAAAGATTATGTTATAATATCGGCTTACCACCACCACTCATGATGACTTCTCTTTCTTCTCTGCTCTGTCTTRRAATAAYTGTAGAAGAAGAACTCGACGTTGGTTGATTTTCTAAAGATACGAGCTTGGTTAAATAGTGAACTAGGGAAATGAAGGAGAACTAACCCCACCCCTATATGACGAAATTCATATTACAGGAAAAAATACTTCAAAGGACTATTTCCTTTTGATATTGTAACTCTCTCTAAATATGTAAACATGATWTATTAAAAATAGATTCTTTTAATCGAGTATCGTGAGAAACGTAACTACAAATGCCCGTGGGGGGTTGGGGATGGGGTCTTTTGATTCACCTGTGCRCCACAGGCAGCCTATCCTTTATTGCGCATATCATAGTTAATAGTCTTAATAAAGCTGTGATCTTGAATTACAGTTTGTACTAAGGTCACTAATACATTGATACCGATTCCAAGGCCAAAATTTTGATCTTTGAGCTCATAAAATGAAAAAACGTGATCCCATGATCCCACATATCTCGTTACTACCCGTAAGCTACCCAAGCATTGATATGTCAATATATTTAGTTGTTTGAATATATTGTCCGCATTCCTTTTACATTCATGGGGTCTTTTCAATATGTCTTGAACAAAAAATTGACGGCTTGAATGCATGCGGAATGCACCGAATAATTGCCCTAGTTCATTATGACGTCACATCAAAACATTCTTTTGTTTTACGCAAAGGATTATGGTCGCCAGAGGGGATCGGAGTGACTGTATTTCAAATAAAATGTACATGAACAATCATTTATACATGATATATATCAAAACGCGATTCATTGAGGTTCTACTTTAGTAGAAAATATAAATTTGTCCAAACTTCCCCTGTTTTTTTAGCATCGTTTTCCGATGAAAACATACTGTGACGTCATAAAGAAATAGGGCAATTGTTAGATGGTGGAGTGAGGTCAAAAAAAGTATTAACTGTGCTTATATGAAATAGCAACATGGTTTCTCTAGAGTGCGTGCGTCCTCGTGAAATAATGCATGCCCATTAACCAATCAGATCTCGAGTACGAGCAAATCTATATAATAGGAATTTGTAGTAAATTTTAAGCTTTTTTTGACTCTATAGTTTAATTATGTATTCCTTAACTGCAATCCTACAGTACGAATTTAGACATCTATTTATAGTGAAATTTGCTGGAATAAACTCCCCACACATTTGAGATTATGAATCTAACATTGATAATAATCGAGATTTTAGCTTCTAAACCAATCTATGCTCAGTAGACATTGTTAGTTTTGAGAAAAAGTGGTAAGCTGTGASTGTAACAGGAACATTTTGGACTGCAGGAATGCGGACTACAAAGTGCAAGCTAATTTTAAACATAATTGTAGCATCAATTTCCGTTCTTTGTACTTGGTATTTCCTGTTATTAAGAAAGGTTCGATAATTGAATGAATATTTTTATATTTTATTTATATCTTCTAGAACTCATTAATAATTCATGAGCTATTAGTCCAATGAGCATCGAACTATTGGGTCACATGATGGGCCTTTATATCCCGATAAAGCACTGATGTTTTGTTAATCAGTTCTGTATCAGATATATAGAACTGATGTTTTATTAATCAGTTCTATACATTATACACTAAATTTAATTTTTATCGAATAATGAAATTGTCCGTCATTTAGTGCGTCAACCCCACGCGATTTACTTAAAAATTTACTTCAAAACCGTGAAACGGTGCTTTAAAGTTAAGGTCTGTTGTAGCAAATCATACTAAAGCGTGAAAACTACATAATAAGTGCATCAAGGAAAGTGTACTTAAAACTTATGGAAGATTTTTGAACTCACTCTATCCACCATCTAAGAATTATTTGGTGTTTTCTGCATGCATTCAAGCCGTCAATTTTTTTTCAAGACTATTGAGAACACCCCATGAATGTAAAAGGAATGCGGACAATATATTCAAGCAACTAAATATATTGACATATCAATGCTTGGGTAGCTTAAGGATAATAACGACATATGTGGGATCATGGAATCACGTTTTGCCATAACTATTAGCTGTTAAACTAAATTTTGATATTCAGAACTATACACACATGATTCATTAGATTCATTGTAATGTCCTTAGATAAATATTAGCATTGAATTATGCATTACAAAATCTATAAAATAGAGGCTTCTGAAATGCCCACGATTCAAGAGAAAATCAAAATAATGGCATTTTTAATATGACCTTCAATTTAATTATCATAAAAAAGATTTTCACACCCAAAAAATTAAGGCGATATATAGTGGTAGGGGATGATTGCATAATTTACAATGTAACTTCAAGGGCAATTCAAATGGCTGATTCTAAATGTCATAAAAATAACGTTCAGGGAATAAATAATTGATGTTGAGGACTCAGTTTGTTTGTAATTTTATGGGTGAGCTCAGAGATCAGAGTTTTAGCCTCGAAATCGGAATCAGTGTATTAGTGACCTTAGTACAAACTGTAATTCAAGATAACAGGCTTTATTATTAACTATATGATATAAGGATAACAAAAACAATAAACACTGTGTCATAGTTCATTAAGTAAATAGCCTCGCACCAATAGGAATCGGATTCTGCGTATTTAAAGAAGTTGGTTATATCTTTTTTAAATAGTACTTCATGAACACAGGGTCCCTTTTGTCCGATCCCCGTTTTCAAGTTCTAGTGCATTTGAACATGGAACTGTTTTTTTATTGCTTTTTTATCCCTTCTTTTTCTTTGCATGTCAAACAATATCATATATCACCTCAGGCAGAATAGCTGATGGTAAAAAGTTTGGTGAAACTTTATATCCCTCCTATACATTGCGTTCATTTAGTGCGACAACTCTCTGTTGATTTATATAATTTTGAGGAATGACTTTTGTAATTTATTCAAACCTTAGCCATTCAGTTGTATCCACTGATGAAGCCTGAAAAGRCGAAACGTCTGGAATAAAGTTATCGACTTTATATGCCTTAAGAAGTATTTCCCCAAAATTATATTATTATCACAAGGCATGGCAAACCACTACTTTTCTCTGTTGATTTACGCGTTTTACTTAAAAATCACTCTTTAAAAGTAAATGTCTACTAGTTAATTATACGCAAGAATAACGCAACTACGTAACGAAGTGCCCGACGTAAATCGTACTGAATGCTTATGAGAGATTTTTGAACTCACTCCATCCACCATCTAYTCTCTATCATAATCATGTTTAACTAACCTGCCGGGATTCTGCTTGAGCGTCCATACCATCCATACGGTATATTAGATATCGACTTAAGCGGTTTTAAAACCATCCATCTTACTGTATTTACTCGTCGACGCGATTGACCACCGAATCTTATTCTTAAAAAGGATACTAATCGATTTGTTCTTTTTCTAATAGTATGTTTGACTATTTCCATATAGATATAAAGCCATCAATTTGAAAGATCTAATCATCCATTGTGGAAACACGCGCGCAAACACAMAAAACCATAAACATGAAAATATTGCTATTTTTATCGTAGTATATGTGTTGACATTCAATGAACTGTGAATAAAAAGCAACTRATATAATATACAAAAGCTGAAGCTTGTTAACTATCATAAACGTTTTGCGTATATTGATCTATTTTGATAAACAAGTTTTTGTTCTGAATCGAAATRTGCGTATAGAATGGGTTAAAAATGTATTGAATTCTTCATCTATACTGAAATTCTTATTGTTCGTCACGGTTCATTATGATKCAACTGTAATATRGGTAGCCCTTCACGCTTTTATAGCATCTTATCCGATTGGTTTAGAGAATTTAAGAACGATGAAACAATGAGCATTGTTTTATTTCTCCAATCACAAGAAACCTTACAAACTCGTGAAGGATAACAGTGTAATATTCGAGAGGCCTCCGAGCGAATTCCGAACATTCACAGATGAGCTACATGTTTTCGTTGAATGCTCGGAGCTCGTTTGGTTTGAGGGAGCTGTATCATTTATGTATCTACCATGGTCAACTGCCATCACTGAAGCTGATCAAATTGAAATATCTTAAGCACGACCGCATTGGATGCTGGTTGATCCTGGACCTTCGATCACTATGGAAAAATTATAGGCAATATTATGCTCAAATGTGTAATTTTCACTATCAGGTAAATAAGGGTATTTCAAAGATAATCTATACGATGAATGGATGTAAGATAAAGATATGGATAAATCTTAAATATAGATGTCTTCATTAAGGCCATTGATAATTTAAATAGAGGTCTGATGGTATCTCGCCAAATACTAATGATTCTAAAATGATAAGAGCCAGCGATTGTYCAATCAAATCTGTTTGTCTTGTTCAACAAATTGAAAGAATGTTAACAAACTCACACAAACAGCTGATTGCAGTAGAGAAAACCCGTGGTAGTCCATGCAAGCTAGAGACAAAWTTCAKAGGAAACAGTTTTAAAGAAGGTATCGTAAGGTAAGAACTTCACTTATTAATTTGTATTCGTGAATGTATAAAAGATGTCGAGTTTCGGAAAAAAGAAGAAGTTAGAAGTTGCTTTCAGAAATACGAAGGAACGAGATGTGGGACAGACCTATTCAATGTCTCCTATAATTCAAGTCAAAAACTCGTACGACCAAATACCTAGTATTACTGAAGAGAGATGCTGTTTGCTGATAATAGTGCATTAGTGGCTCACAGTTTTTCTCTCTTGCTTGCTGACCGATTTGCTAGAGCTGCTCTGCTGCCCAATTCAGTTTCAAGATCAACAACATCAAATAGACAGAGTGCATGCATGTATCAACCGATTAAACTCCTAARCCCCCAGCCTGAGCCTGAGGTAATCACTATCAACCAAGAGCCTCTTAGTGCAAGCCACTGATTTCACCTACCTTGGAAGCACTGTTTCAAACACGATCTTATCAGGCACCTTACTGCTATAACTACCTKGTAAATTAAACAAAGAAACATTTAGTGCAAAATCGATTGCATGGATCTGAATCAATCAATTTTGTTGCGTGCAATTTTTAACATTCAGAATTTGCTTTGACAATGAATGTAGAGAAAGAATGTAGGATTAGTTTGAATATGGTCCAKTCCAGTTAATTACTGGCTTAATTTTCTTCCYTAATTCAGTGAKTTTACAAGGTGGCAATGCTCAAAATCTGCATCTTTTTTACTCTCTATTGGTCTTTTAATTAGCCAATCAAACCTTATCTTCAAAGTCTAAATTGTAGTGCCTACATTAGCGCTAATTGGTAAAAATTGCGATATTTGAACAAAAGAAAATAAATAACATGGCACTACAATCATGGACAAAATAGATGGGGACACTATCAGCGAAATGGTGGTATTACCATCATCATTTTACTACCATTTAAAAAAGTACCTTCAAAGGGGGCGGACCTTTGCAGCTGGTCGTCACGTGACCACACCTACCTTAAATCAATCAGCTATCAAAAAAAACTTCTATCAAAAACATTTCTCTCCAGTTCTATTTTGCCATACGTTTCTTTAGAAAAATCAATATTTTACATTTGCTGTCATTTTTGAAGTATTTAGACTTGGGACTTGAGATTTTGCCATTTTACCAACATAAACCTGCTCTTTCCATTTCTGAACATCATTTTTTGATAACTGATTGATTTAAGGTAGATCTGGTCACGTGACCGGCAGCTGAGAACGGCCTATTATGATCATCAAAAGTTGTTGATGGTGCTCGATGATCGATTCCCGACCTTACATTACTATTTGTAGCAAGAACGTTAGGATTTCAACAGAAATTATCTTTGATTTTATTGTAGCTGTAGCTTATAGTGTCGTTTAGAGCAAAGCACCTAAGATGGGTTTCACGACAACAGCGCAGTCCTTTGCGCGTTTAATCTTGTTTCTCATAATTTCAATGGTAAGTTAGTTCCTTTTTTAGTTTTTAAGTCGCACATGCATCTGAAAACGTACAGATCTTGAAATAGTTTGCTGATATTTCTCTTACTTACTTTATTTATTTATTTCTWTTTTTTGATGTTTTCAGTTAATATCAGTTCAAGTTGAATGTAAGTAGCGTATTGTTATCTGTTTTTGAACAAAGCGTTATTTTTCACAGATGATATCCCGTTCAATAGGAAATGTGAAAGGACGCCATTTTGTGCAGCAAAGGATGATGGTAGTTGCAGCCCTCGTACTTTTATATGTCAGATATAGTAGTCCTTCTTAGCAGTTTTTGCTTTTTCTAAAAAAAATAGAAGTATTTGTGCCGGTTATAAAAAGAAAATGTAAAAACGGCTTTTAAATAGACATTTAAGGGGCTATACACGACTTTCAAAAATGGCGCCAGTTCACGTCCGCCTATATTGGGGACTAGCGACGAATCATGGAAACGAGACCTCAAAGGCCTTCCATCAAGAAATCACCACGAAGATCGTTTGTAGGCAGTGTCCAAATGTTTGAAAGATGTATTGGTATGTTATTTATAACAAAACACTCTTGCAAGACACCATGGAAGCTCACTATACGGAGGCTGGCCTTTGAGACCTCGTTTTAGTGCTTCGTCCCCAGTGCCCTGGTCGACGACCGTGACACATCGCGCCATTTTTGAAAGTCGTGAATGAAAAGTGCGAGKTCTTCAACTACCATCATGCTTTGCTACACAAAATGGCGGCGTTGCACAAGGTAAACATGAGCATTCTACTCCCAAATGACCTTTTGACTGCAAATTACTATTTCACATTTCTTACAGGTGATGTTTGCCCAAAATTCAAGCGTTATGGGTGCTTCAAAGCCAAGTTTAGCTCAAGCAATTTTCTCCCTAAGCTGTTGTTCACTGATCGCGACCAAAGATCAAAATCKTTTAGTGGTATAAAGATTGACTGGAAAAACTGGAACAACTATATTTCCGACCTCGCATGTAGATGCGCTATGCGCGCAAAACAATCTAATTATACCTACTTTGGTATCCAATACTATGGTGAGCCTTATAARATTTCTGATATATAACGAGTGCTCTGATTGGCTGACGACCGTGTTTAATCACAGGACGACAGAGGCACGGCTTACCGTAAAAAAGTTTTTTCACTCAAAAAATGGGCATCGTTTTATATTTATTAAATAAATATATAAATTTGGGTTTAAAGATCTTATCGTCGCGACGTAGAACTGTCTCTAACTTGTTCTTTTTGAGTCGGGATACGGSGATTTTTCATTGGTTTCAAGTGTAGTTCTTTAAAGATCTAGTTGTATCCAAGAGCCTTTGCGCGAAAATCTTTGAAAAGATCGCAGAGAGGTCCCGTGATACACGTGTTTTTTTCTGTTTTTTCTTTCTTCCTTACTAACGTCAACTCTGGACTATAACTGAACTAATCGCAAAGATATGAATATGATGACCATTATGAAACTTTGAGATACATGATATAGAAATAAAGGAAAGTTATAGTGCTTAGCAGGAGTTTATTCCGGGAGAAAGACCCTTTGAAAGAGATTTGCAAATTAATTATTCTCCCCGGAATAAGCTCCTTCAAAGCACTACAACTTTTCTTTATTTCTAAATCATGCCCCTACTAGAGGCAATATTTTGAATTTGTATTTGTATTTTTATCCTAATATTCGTTTCTTAGCGGAATGCTGGAGTGGGGATGTCCCTGCAGTCAAGGCCAATGGTGAAATGCATCCTTATATAGTCAATATAATGGATATTCGATCAAACAAATGCATTGGAAAAGACCACAACCCWTGTTCTGACAACGACAAGTACTGCGTTGGATCACAACACATTTACTTCACATACCAGCTAGGTACAACTGATAGATTTAGAACTCAACAAAGCCTTTTGTTTTCCATGCCTTAAAGCTTCGCCTTCCCACTTTATACTTCGCAATGTAGTATGAACTCAAAGCAATGCAGAATTAAGCCTTTTGTTTCCCATGCCTTCAGTAGTATTTCAACTTTTATGATCCTCGGCTTCGCCTTCCAACTTTATACTTCGCAGTGTAGTATGCAGCTTTTGGGGGATCTCTCCTCGCTATCTGTAGCCTCTTCTATTTTCCGCCTAGCAACGTCGTTTTCAAGAGCTTTAATTTTTTGCACTTCCCATTCGTCTTCTCGCTCAAGAAGCTCATGTCAATACGATCATGTCATCCCTTTTCCTGTCATGTCTTTTATTTTCTTAGTTCCTTGAATTCTTCTTTTATATTTTTGTGATGTTCAAAGTATTATCTGACTTTCGGAGAGTGAATGGTCTTAACTCAGGTGTAACCGATGTAATTATGTCTTGAGGGAGACTGGCAAAGTTCCCTGGCGTTTCAGCATTCTACGTGAAAGTCACCTTCATAATCTTTTTGCTGTTTCTTAAGTTATACTACAATGAATTACTCATTCAGAAAATGAGTACTTTCTCTTAGCTATTGACCACTGTGAAAAGAAACCCTGTCAAAATGGTGGAAACTGCACCTCCGGAGAAAGCACTTACTCGTGTGATTGTAAACCTGGTTACGAGGGAAAGAACTGTGGATCAGGTAGGAGGGTCTGTCAATAATTTTCTCTATCTTTTCAATGTTAGCAAAATAATTACCCGTTCATGGTAATTCACAGATATAGACGAGTGTGCATCAAACCCTTGTAGAAATGGCGGTGCTTGTAAGGATGGAGTTGACTCATACTCTTGTGAATGTAAAGATGGATTCGATGGAAAGAACTGCGAGAAAAGTAAGTAATCTCTATTAAGAATATTTTATAGCTGTACACTCCACTATTTCAATGTGGACAAAGAAATAACTAGTACTTTATATGATTTCTCAGAAATCAACGGCTGTTCCAAACAACCTTGTCAAAATGGCGGTGTTTGTAAAGCCGATGGAGTTGACTCTTATTCCTGTGAATGTAAAGTTGGTTACAAAGGGAAAACCTGTAAACAAAGTAAGTACTGTAATTCCTTATGCTATGTCTAATTTTTCACAAAGTTGGCCCATTTGTCTTATGAAATCCGCGCGCTTAGATAACCATCACATGACAAAAACTTGCGAMGTTTTAGCATGGAACGTAAGGCCAAACTCGCAACGGTAAATGACCATGGCAAAAAAACGTTAAACAAGCTATACGTTAAACATAGCTACTCCCTGCTCTTTCTGCTTGGATTAATCCAATGTCGAGCCCAGAGTCTTCACGGCTAAATATCGGCGGTCTCTCACGCATCACATGTCAAAAACTGGCCAAGTTATAGCATGGAGCGTAAGGTTAAACTCGCCACGGTAAATGCCATGGCGAAAAACGTTAAACAAGCTAAGCTAAACACAGCTACTCCCTGCTCTTTCTGCTTGGATTAATCCAATGTCGAGCCCAGAGTCTTCACGGCTAAATACCGGCGGTCCCTCACGCAAATGAAATCCGTTTCAAAACTTTCAAAAGTGCGGTCTCTGGGTACAAGATGGGTATCTCGTATGTGCTTAATTTTAATCCAATGATGATTTCAGTCGATACAGACGTTGCTATCAAGATAACGCGGGCGTCAGTAGAGGATTACGTGATGGTGAAGAAAACAYTCCCGGAAATGCGCTCATTCACAATGTGTGTGTGGATGAAGACTGCAGACAAAAGAGATACCAGTACTATCGTTAGTTATTCCGTGCCTGGTAATGATAATGAGCTGGTACTAAGTCGCCCTAAGAATCTTCGGGTTTTCATAGCAGGAGAGACTTGGTAAGTTCAGAACAGACTTGGTCTTTTCCTTTGAGAATTCAAAGCGCATGCGCACTTCCCTCTGTGCCAGATTGTCTTGGAGTATACAGGAGATCGAACTAACTTAAATCAGTGTATCATACTGTTATGAAGATGTCTTCTTTTGTTAACCGTTCTGTAATTGTTCGGCCATTAAAATGAGCCCGTCCTTTTTAAGCACTATTTCCCCTCCCTTCCTTGCTTCTCAGTTTCCCAAACAAGGATACATGCACATATAAACGTCAGTCAAACAAAGGACTGTTACCAAATCGCTGCCCTATAGACTATACAAAGCAGAATAAGGCTAACATTAGCTAAAGTAAAAGAAATTGAAGATTTTATAAACTCACGGCTGAATTAGACTTTCAGTATAGACTTTCGTTTTTTTTAGGAGTTCTTCAGTGGATGTAACGGACAACCTGTGGCACCACGTTTGTCTAATGTTTGATTTTAATGATAATAAGGAAGCTCGCATAGATCTAGATGGGATGTTTAAGAAAGCTAGACGTTTCTCAAACACGATTCGTGGAAAAGGGAAGCTGATCATTGGWCAAAACCAAGATAGTTTTGGTGGAGGATTTGATAAGAACCAAAATTTTATTGGTGAACTGACAGGACTTTATATATGGRACTGGCCACTTACCGGTGATGAAATGAAGGAMAAATGCAGTAAGGACATGTTCGGAGCAATAATTACATGGAGAGACGTCATTTCYGGTAGTATCCATGGAGACGTTGCTTTGATTTCCAATTCTTGCAGAGATAAAGACAGTAAGTAAAGTACTGCGAATGATGTGAGATATTTTTTTAATCAGGCTTTGAACGACGTGGACTGAAATATGTAAACGCGTGCAAAGGGTTATAGAAATCTAAATGGAAGTCTTTTTTYMWYCMWTTYMRRAMYT